AGGAAAGACTCCATGGAAATTGCTTTTCCACGGTTGAAACTGCTGATGATAGCGAAAACTAATTTTACGAGAAACGTAAATTAATAATTAAGTGTACACCTTGACGATTTCCAAGCGTGTCAATGTTTGCATTCACTTAGTCAGGCTAGTTGATGAAAATTGAACGTATCTCGTTTCTCAAGCAAATTGATTTTAACTGATGGACCTACTTTGCTTGGACAATTGTCACTTGAGAGTCGAATTCTATATTTTGCATCAACTTTTCAGATATTCAAGAAATATAAAACGGCGCGCGTGTCTCTGTCCTCTGATATAAACACGGTGTTCGAAAACCACGAGAGAAGCAAGCTTAGGAACACGAGCGTAGCGAGTGTTTCTCTTCTTGCTTCTCGAGTGTTTTTCAACTACCACCGTGTTTATATCAGAGGACAGAGACACAAGCGGCCGTTTTATATTTCTTTTATAAACTTTTTCGAGCGAAAAGAACATTTTGCCAGTAAGCCGTGTCTCTGTCCTCTGATATAAACACGGTCGTCAGCCAATCAGAGCGCCCGTTATATATCAAAAATTTTATACACCCTTTTAATAAGTCCCGAGGTATTGTGTTCTCCGCACTTGACGTCAAATTTATTCTTTTGAATTCCTTTTGTATTGTAAAAATTTCAAAAGAATAAATTTGACGTCAATTGCGGAGAACTCGATACCTCGGGACTTATTAAAAGGGTGTATAAAGATAAATATAGATGGAAGTGAAATAAAATCTCCAATGGGACAGCAAACGTGTTGCTTTTCGCCCTGGCTTTTACTACTGAATTATACGAAGCCAAGTGTCGCATCAGCTGTGAACATGGAGTCAAAGACTATGACAGGGAGCGTCCTTTGTATGAATGTTGTACAGTTACATGATATCGGGCTACAAGATACTACATACATCGCTTACTGCTGTTTACATGTAGTTCCACAAGCTGTCACATGTTTGAGTTGATCACATATCGCAATTAGATTTAAACTGGTCTGCTGATTTTAGCGGAAGAGAAAAATCATATTGCCGATTCCAAGACCGAAATGCATTGTTGCTTTAAGCACGAGCGTTACCTGCGTTACAATTGCAACTATAAACTATTGCTTTCATTTGGTGAGTTTTTGATTGCACCGAGCTGATATGAGCCACTCTGAAACCATGAACGGCAATAGAACGACCAGCAATGCATTGCGACAACTGAATGGATCAGTTCATCACCCTTACATGCAGTAAAAATCATGCTGAAGTACTTCAAATCAATGTGCAAATGGAACCGGAAATATGTGAATATATTTTGATATAATTAATATTCAATATATAATATTAGTACTTATTTAAAATTGTAGCATTTCGGATTACCTGTGAAAATCATGTGAAATTAAAACGTGATCGTTGTAACCTTTGCAGCGCATTGCTCGATTTCATGCCGTGGGAGACTGGGTACAAGTCCCTTTATTAGTACGATGGTGAGATAAGACTTCCATAGAATGCATTGTAAATAAGAAACTCACAAAAGTAAATGATTTTGCAAAGAAATTTATATGGGATTTTAGAAAAATCCGTTCTTTTGTGCTGTATTGGTCGTATTGATTCATTATGCCAATTAAAAGACTTCTACCAAGGTTTCCCACGGAAATCTGGCAAATGAAATCTGGCAAATGAAATCTGGCAAATGTGATCACATTGATATTTTATACACTACATTTAGGTATAATAATGTCAATATATTTACATGATTACCGTAAAGTCAAGCTGTTCCAAGGGGGGAGGGGGGAATATAACAACACGGCGTGTTGTTATCTTTGTTTCTTGTTTATAAGGATTTTATGGATGTATATCAGCAATCATTTATACATGATCAGGAGGGAGGGGAAAACTCCGCGACATGAGGACTTCTTCACGAAATCGCGCGTGACGTCATATTAGGACATAGGTCTGTACAGCGATTGGCCCTAGAGACGACCTCCCCCCCTGATACATGATATATATCAAAACACTAAATATTATTGAAGTTCTACTTTTATAGAGACAATACAATAGGGTGTCAATGGGGGTAGTAGTTAACTGACTTTTGGCTTAAAAATCAGTAGTTAACTGACTAATGAAAATCGTATATTTAACTGACTTTCTTACTAATATAACATTTAATTCAGGCGCGTAGAGTCCTTACGCATATACGCACGTGCGTACTAGTGGGAAGGAAATATTAAAATTTTCGGGATTTGATGCATTTTATGCGCTCTCGATGCCCCTCAAAACGCTAAAAATCGCATTTCCAATAGTTATTATTTCAAAATTTCCTGATGGGGGAGGATACTTCCGCCTTCGGAGGTCGTTAGCCCCACAATCCAAAATATGCATGTGTCGCGGTACCGGCCAAATGCGTATTAGCCAAAACGTCCACGCTACGCGCCTGTAATTGCGTCTTTATAAAAATCTACTGTCTAACAGTTTTTTGGGTCTTTTAACTGGTCACTGCTGTTTGAGTAGTCAAGCTCCGATGCACATGTCACGTTTCACGAGCACCCAGGCTATCCTCACCGAATTGAACTTGTTGACCAGACAATGGCTGGCTTTGTCAAGGTCATCGTTGGTTTCTATCATAGTTAATAGAGGGGAATGGTTTGGAAACCTTTTGTTGTACTTCTTTTGTGCATCTTTTGTACGTATTTTGAGCCGTTGAATCAGTCATGACCGTGCACAAACGTTGTTTTACGGACGATAGAAATTGCAGAATGACTAAACACCCTCTATGAGATTATGAAGTGAACTAGCGTTTTTTATCAAAAGTCAGTGCTGCGATGCTTGAGAAAGACAATCGTGTATGAAAAGTTTTTATTACTGGTTTGTACATCTTTATTAAGAAGAGCGCTGTGGGATTGTGCAGAGTCCTCAGCGAARATGAAAGCCTGATTTTAAAAGTTTTTGTTGATATTAAAGAAATAAAAACTATGTACTTATTGACTGAGTGGGAGGGCCGTACGGGAAAATATTTGGCTCGAGGTTATGCCGTACAAATGACCGAGAGCCAAATATTTTCCCGTACGGCCCGACCTTACTCAGTCAATAAGCATTTTATAATATGACAGCGTTTTTTAATGTAAAAAAATAAATAAAAGCACGCGGAACTTCAAGCCGGGAAAATACGGATTTGTACGGACCTGTCGCGAAAAGTCGTACGGACCCCATCACGTGACCATTTTCCAAAGGTTTCAGTGAGAGCGCGCGTAGGGCCGAAATACGGGTCATATGAAACATTTTCTTTCCTAAAATACATAGTATAAATTTGCTTATTACATGGGCTTCCTGTGGAAGACCATGTCTAAAATTACCGACGACTTTCCTTCAACATGCTTCAAAGTGGTATATCCGGGACCTTTTCTATTGTGTTATTGTCATTCATGTTYCTAAGCAACGATTCTAAGCTTGSCTYGTSCTTCATGTTTAAGGATCGTTTAGAGATAGAAATCACGGATCTAGCTACGACAAAACGCTCAAATCTCTTTACAAATCCACATGTTATTCGCGGTATAGAAACACTAAATGATGTCGAGCGTTTTTCGAAAGGGCATTTGTAGGGATACCGTGAATTTCTCGTGAATCTTCCTATCGTGAATAAACGAATTATATACGGCTCTGCAATCACAAAGACTATCTAAGGAATGCAAACAGTGTTATACTGAGGAAAATGAAATGATTGGAAGCATTTTAAGCGAAGAACATGAAAGACTATCGACCTGTGTTTACGCGGAATGTCTCGTCAAACCTGCTTACTTCTTTCACAATATTATGCTTAACACTATAAAGTACATTGCTTGTTTTATCATTTTTCATTAAAAGAAATATTTTTGCTTTAGTCTTAGTAATATAATATTAACGTTATTAGGGCTCAATATAATACAATTCTTCGATTCGTTTGCTGATTGTGATACCACAGGAAGCCCATGTAAACGATCGCTGATCGTCTAGTTTGATATTATGATAATATAAACTTGATGGTTTGTTTTTAGTTAGTCATTTGTTTATCTGATGTTATGCTAATA